TGTTAATGCCAGAGCAGGTGTGCTGGTGACTTGTAAGCACTATATGCCTCATTATTGAACCCTACTCTCACATAGATGTGATCATGGAATATCTACTGTAGAAGGGAAGAAATTTCACAGACTATCGAGTGGTTGTTGGTCCTAGACGGGCTGTGCTTTAGCTTATTTCACTTATTTTCCCACACTGTCATCTGTACGGTTCAAAAAGAATGGTCCAAAAGAAGAGAAAATCACTAGTGAGCAGCAGTTCACAGGGCCAAAATAATTCATAACAGTTTTAAAGAAGAGCATCTCTGAACGTACAGCATGTTGAAACTTGACGTACAGTGGCTACAGCAACAGAAGACCACACTAGTGGCCAGTAAAATGAGTGTAAAATTTGCACAGGCTCATCACATTTACATAGTAACGTCTGATCTGATGATTCTTGATTTCTGCTGTTATGGTCAGAATTTGGCTTAAACGACATAAAAGCGGGGCCCTAACCTGCTTCCTGTTTAGTTTGGGCTCAGTTTAGGCTCATAGTGGTGGTGTAATGGCACGGGGGATATTTTCTGGGCAAACTGACAGATTTCCATCAACATTATGATGCAATCAAGTCAATATAGATCGGACCTGTCTGAGGAATGTTTCCAGGATCTTGTCGGCCATTAAGATTTAAGCCAAAAAGAGGTTCAACCTGGTACTAGTAAGGTGCACCTAATGAAGTGGACAGTGTTGTGGAAGTTTTCCATTTAAATAAAGCCTGCAGACGAGCGGTGAGCGGTAGCTAACATTCTTTAATCCAAACACACAAAGACAACATACAAACAAGCTTGTGGAGAGCCTACATGACCGCGGGGCAGGTCAGCAGAGTCTCACTGAGCCTAGCATGGCTCTCAGTTAAATACCTTCTCCAGGAACAAAAGGCCGTACACAGCTGTTTCACACCTTAAGGTTCACACTCCCTTGCTACCTCCCAGAGTCCTCGAAGAGACAAAAGACTCCTGTTTCCCCCAACATCCTTACTACACCCACTACCATTTGTCTTAACGTATGAGTGTCAGACATGTTAAAATCCAGTGGCACCAAGGCATCATACAATAATGTGACTAATACATAAGTAAAAGAAATTCCTATACAACAGTCAGTGTATTTTATAGTAAATGAGATGCTGTAATAAGAAGGAAAAATCTTAATCTCTGAGTCTCTGTATGAAGCATACAAATGTAAGTATGTGGCTTTGTGATCGTGAGCCTGAACACATTAAAGCTACAATGACTGCAGCTGATTCATGAGATTCACACACCACCACCTTCTCATTAGGAGGTTGCAGTGACTGACGTGTGTGTTGTGGTGCATCAGGTGCAGAGATACAAAAGCATCTCAATGCAAAGACCTTTATTAGAAGAATATTTGAACCAAAGACCAAGCTGACAGTTCACATTTAATCCTCTGTTAATGGATTTCACTTCCTCTGTATTGTGACTCCAATGATTTGCCAACGCTCCTTGTTGGTAGATATTTAGTAAATGTTGTACTCTTCAACATTTGCCTTTAACTGTGGGGTGTAGAGGTTGATTATTTAACAGTGTGGTATAAAGGTCAATAAGTTCTCCTAGCTTACTGACTTTGCAGGATTATTTAGATGCCCAGTCTCTGTATGTATTATTTATAACAGGGTGAAGGGAGCAGCTGCCATATAGCAAATGTGTTTCATGTGTCAATTACTGCTGACGAGTGTTGCTGTTCAGTCTAGTTGGATGTTGGGTAAGAAAAACATTTATATTTATACTGATAAAAAAACACAGCGAAAACAGAGAATGATACAGAAATCAGGATTTGATATCAAATTTTTTAGAGGTTTTCATTATCTGTAAACCACAACACAAATGAAGGGTTATTTATAAAGTAAATTTCCAGGTATTTT